ATATACTTTTGGGATCAAACTGATCCAAGATCACTTCGATCGTACAAATCGTGTATACAAACGAACTACTGTGATCCGATCGATCTCTATTTGCGTATACAAACGCCATCTAGGATCAACTGGATCTCGATCAAACTAATCCTAGCGGAGGGTAGGATCGTTTGGATCGGATAAAAGAGATTAAAGATGGCGGCTTCCATGGTCGAAGTTAAGCTGACAGTGCATTTCTTCCTTTTCCTATTACTATTTCTTTTGATTGTAATAAAATGGGAACAAGATCCTTCAGTAAATTTTCGAAAGTAAGTCGACTTACTCGAAAGTGTTCTTTAAAAACATTTGGCCTATATTCTAATGCAACCTCTGAAACATAGTTAGTTATTTTGCATACCGATTTCTTTTTTTTCTTACTTTTATATTGTGTTAAATAATTAACCAAAATTAATTCTTCTTCCTCGGATTCTGAATCTAATTCCGATAATATTTCTAAAATGATTCCTAAACTTGCCGCCATCTTCGATCCTACTCGTATACTTTCCGCCATGACAGAAGCTATCTGTATCACGTGACAAGGACTGATCCGATTTTACAGATCGATCTATACAAAACGAAAAGTATATGCACCCATAGTGTCCTCGGGTTGGAAGGAGTAAAAAAATGAAAATAATATTTATTTATATTGATATGTTAAGTTTTTAACTATTTACGTTATTATTGATATTTCCAGTAAAAATTGAATTATTTATGACTAAATTATACACAAGTCGAGAAAAATTGAAAAAAAATTATCAATAATCTAACAAAATTCATAATTTTATTATTCATAATAATATATATATTAACTGTTTATTCAGATATATAGCGTGTGAATATGGAACACAAAGGATCGAAAAGTTTCAAACTCTTCGGAAGTGAGGAAATAATATTTGACGTGCATCTTGATGTCGAATCTTTGGGTGTCTTTTTCTCCATCTTATTTAAAAAAAACAGATTCAATTTCATTTTAACAAAACGTGCGCTATTTAACAGAGAAATCCAAATATTTTTCACTAAACTCCCAGCGAAAAAGCAGTTTCCAGAAGACGCTATTTGGTTGCATGGTCCATGCATTTTGTTTTATATCTGAAAGATATATTCGGAATCGACTCGACCCAAATACAAGGCGGCCATAATTAAAGTTACTATTCAGACCATTCTGTAGCCGTACCTAATAAGCGGATTGACGCCAAAATTTATATGAAGATTATGCAAAAGACGAGGAATAAGATTTTGCAAAATTATTTTTCGCTGTCTCGATTCACAAATCATTTCGCACTCTATACAAATTTTGGTGTCAATCCGCTCATTGGTTACAATCACAGAGTACTCAACTTGTATGCAGTACACAGATTTAGCTTATAAACAAGTTATTTCCAATAAATTTAACATAATAGAAGAATTAATTTTTTGATATCTTTATCAATCTTTATGAATGGAAGTAGCTGTTTAATCTGGTACACAAAGTTTTGTTAAAGTATTGTTAGTGTAGCTTTTTCTGTAATACTTCAACAAATTCTATGGTAATTGTCTAAATAATTTGAAGAACTGTTATAATTTGATGATATGTCAACTAGCATCGATCGCACATTCTTCCAGTCCAATAGGACAATTTAATCCTAACAGAAATTAAATTTTCAAATCGCCAATTGACTTTTTCAATTATCATTTTTAAAAACTTTTAAAACATTCAGTAAATTCTATTCTAGATTGTCAAACTTTTCTATAATTTACTTCTACTGTCTCTTAAATTTAGTGATCGGGGATTATTTTATTAATTTAAACTATAAATAAATTTTCAATAGATTTTGGAATAAGGTTTACAGTTTTAACTTATAAAGCTAATAATTTTGAATATAAATAAATATTTTTGTTAAAATGTGCGTTATTCACTGGTTAATCTGAATCGAATAGCGATAAATCCAGGAGATGGTTAAGATAAAAAAATCCAGGAATCTTTATCCTTTTCCGACGTTAACCGGTAAGGTATCGATCTCCTTCTACATTGATTACAAAGCGCAGTCGTTTGCTCGGGAAGATCGATTTTCTTTCTCGATGTACCAGCTACCGCCATGCACAGAAAGGTACAAAATATGCAAAGTATTTGATGTCAACTAAACGCTCTCATTCGTTTGCGTATGTTTATCGTACAACTAGAAAATTTTCTAACTTTTAATGGTTATTGCATTTTCTGCAATTCTAAAATTTTAAATTTCTATAATATTCGTAGAGCGGGAATATAGATAGATAGAGCCGAATGAAAAATGCCTGTCCATCTTCATCATAAAATATCGAAATATATTCGCTTCGTTTTATCTTACAAAAAAAAATAAAGAAAACTTCAATTTATATAATTCAATTCCAAGCTACAGCAAATAAATAAATAAATAAGGACATTCTTTTGTTTAAACAATCCGAAGAATCTTCTCTAAGAACATCGAAAAATATGCTTACAAGTCTTTACAGAAAACATGGAAGAACCGCATCGATTATTTACGTCGCCATCCTCGGCATTTTTATTATTAATCCTAATTTTTTCACTTTCCAGTTTTCTTTTGCATGACATTTAAAACTGTGTTTATTTCCAGAAGAAAAATGCATAATTGTTTAAACAATCTAGAAAATAATGCGCCATTTTCACAAAATTGAAAGTTTTCTGTAAGCCATTTGTATTCTGTGACGATACTTTGTTTTCAAACATTTTGTTTATATCTTTGTTATACGAAGAAATAATGACACGCACAATAAAAAATTTAAAAAGGGAAACCACCGTAGATACGTTTCCATGATTAATATCGATTGGGAAGTCCAACGTTTTTTCAATAATTTCAAGTTTTACATTTTATAAGAAGTAAACAATAGAATATATTATATAAAAAATTTTATATTTATCTTCGACATTTTGTAAATTGATCGTAAATGGTATGCCAAAATACACCAGTTTAAAACTACACAAATTGGATAAAAGCATTTATGATAAATTAATGCAAAAATCTACAGTCTAAATAAGTAATAAATTGAAGATTTCGCCCGGTTTTAAAATAATTCGTAAATTTAGGTTATCGGATTTTTGTAATATTAACGATTTAATTTTTTTTTTTTTTAATAGGAAGCAGAATTGGGTCTGATCTCTTTGACACCCACACAATCGGCTTTTCGAATAGTAGATTTCATTCTGCCCTATCACATCGAAAATTTGGTCGTCTTGTCCGGAATTCCGGATGCATTGCCCACTTACGTGAATATCTTCCAGCCACAGGTAAGTCCATATCAGATAAATTACTTGATATTGTCGCGTTAATGATAAGAAATATAACGCCTAAGATATCTTCCAGGTGTGGCTAGGTCTCGTGATATCTTTTATGGTACTTTTAATCGTGGGTATTCTTATCGACCGCTCTCAACAAGGAAGCGAAAGCATTCTCAATCGAGCATTACGAAGATTAAATATCATTTCTGGTAAATTCTTAAATCTCGAATTTGTGTTATAATATATTAATAATTATCTATCGAACCCGTAGAGTTCTCTAACGAAGGCACGCAACCGTATTCCGCTACTCGATTTTTGATATTGGTTTGGTTGGTGGCTTCTTCCGTCATCGCCATGCAGTGTATCAACGTCACCAATCGAGACAAAGGGGACAGGAATAATATAGAAAATCTGGAAGATTTGGTGAATTACCCAGACATGAAAGTCTTGGCACCGAAAGGCCTAAATATTTTAAAATGGTTAATAGTAAGTTGTTGCCGTGTCTAGTAATTCTAAACGCGTTTCGTAAAGTCTAAGTTATTGTTATATTGAAGGAAAGTAGGAATAGGAAGCATAGATTATTAGGAAGACGGATGAGAGATAAGAATTCCTTTCTGACGATGAATCAGATTTTCTCAGAATCTTCGTTAGACGACGTGGAAAGAAGAGAATCCGCCATTATTGCCGGCTCTTCGACCGTCAAAATGGTTCTTTCCAAAAGATATCAAAGTAAGAAAAGCTGTAGACTTTATTTGGGAAAGACGACGTCCTTTCCGATAATGAGATCGATCGTTCTTAGGAAAGACGCTCCCAACGCATTTAAAGAAACTATTAACCTAAGGTAAGTGGAATATAAGCCGTTTCCATTACTCGTTCCATTATTTGTACACAAATAACTGTTTATTTTAATTAGAATGAACGACATTGCGCAATCTCACCTCTTCACACACTCGCTAGAAGCCGCTTCCTCCAATTACACAATATGCTTGACAACTTTCAATCAAATAAGACTCTTGAACAAAGAAGAATTGAAAAGCCTGTTCTTCGTCTGGGTAGCAGGAGTAGGCATTATTTTCGTATTCATGGCCATAGAAATGATACTCTTCAAAAACAAACTTCGCTCCCATACGAATCTCGGCGTCTCGGTTCATTTAAATCTATAATCTATAATGATAAATGCACCGCACGTTCTGTATAATTCGAAAATCCATTTATCTGCAATAGTTTTATATCAAACTGCCAAATAACGAATTTAAAATATTATCGCTTAGTTATTTATGGCCCATTATTACACAGACGTTACAGTAACACACACTATTACAGTAAGGCATTTAAAAAATTCATTAACTTATAATAACCCAATATTGCAAGGCTGTGGAGTCGGAGTCGTCAAAAAATCCGCCGACTCCTGTTTACCCACCAACTTATGTATATAAAACGGAAAAGTATTGGAATCGTGTCAAATTTGACCCTCCAAGTTTTTTTTTTTTTTTTTTTTGCAAATCTACACTTTGGAGACCTCCCGAATCCTTCAAAAAGTCAATAAAGGGGAAAAATTCGCGCGCGCGTGTTGGCGTCTAATTTGTTTAATTTCTTTATTTTCTGTTCTAAGATATTAAACAATATCTCAGAACGGGTAAAGTTTAAGAAACGAAATGCGGCACTGTAGCTCGCGTATAAAGGGGCATTAATATTATTAAATTTTGGTTCTTAATTAAAGGTCGACAGGGTGAAGACCTAAAAGTGATCATGTGTCATATCTCTTAATGAATATTTTACTCGTTATTAGCGTTCAAAATTTCAAAAAATTAAATAAAACTCATCTTTACCCCTCAAAGTAAGCTTTTTTTGCCATTTTATAATAGTACAGTAAAACCCATTAAGATGTTCTCGCCTAGGATGTTATAATGTATATGGGGACATGATTTAGCTCAACCACTTTAACGCTTAATAACTAACTCCTGTGTTAAACCATATGACTCCGATTCTGACCACTCAGACCACAGAAATTATTAGGCTTCAAACAGGGTAAACAAAATTATGCCCCTCACACACAGTCTAACATCCACACATATAGAAAAAACCTCGAATCTTTTGCATATCTCGAAATTTCAAGGTGTCCCGAGTCCAAAAATGTAAAAATTTGGGAGAAGTCATTTTTTGACCGAGCGCTATACTTTCCCTCTGTTATATATAACAGCCGGAAAAGTAAAAATTATCGAATACATATTTATATATTACTTAGAGAAGTCCTTTAGCTTTGGAATAAAAAGTTTCTACGCTCTATCTTTATTACAACTCTATTTATTGAATATTTTATTGAGGTCACGTGATGACATCAGAATTTCCGGGTCTCTTTTGATAACAAGTCTGCCCCTAGTCGGAGTCGGATGGTAAGGAAAAGTCGGAGTCGGTAGATTTTTACGCGACTCCACAGCCCTGCAATATTGTAATATCACGTAAATAAAACCAGTTTGTACGAAGTATTCGTCAGTAGACTATCGTATATATCGTACCTATGATATAGACATGCATCTTAATACAGTCAAACCTCAATATAGAGTCCTCCTAAGTACTACCACCCTGGTAAAGCTTAAATAAATACTTGTAAGATTAGAAATCTTATATATCATCATTTATAAAACTGTTTCGCACCAAAGATTTGACGATTGGTAATAATTGAATTTGATGAATGTAGCAATTATCGGAATTCATTTGTTTGTCAAGTTAAATTTCGAAAAATGTAAAATGTTGTCGAAGATTGAATGACGAAATATAAATTTTTTGATCTGTATTAAAATTTTGTTGGTGAAAATACGAATTATCCGAATAGCTCCACACCAATAATACAATGATTTTATGGGAGTCGAGAGACGATAATTCGTCTTTGCGACTTAATTGAGAAATGAAAATAATAAATAAAACTTTACAAGCAAATGAATAGTTTATTGTCACTTCAGATTGTTAGATCACAAAATAAAAATAATAATTGGTGAATGCCAAAGCACACTTTCCACATGAGAATGGCACGTAATATCCATAGAGTGTGTGTTTTTGGCAAACGGTGTGAATGGAAAAAAATAAGAGTAAAACAGTTGATATCTATAGATATTTAATACACAAATATCTAAAACTTGGACCTCTACAATTGCAACCAGTGCCCTCTGGTGTGAAAAACGGAGAAAATATACATATATTTCTTTTAACGAATTTTATTCTTGGTTAATTTCCTCTGCGACATAGAACCCAATTCCACCCGAAGAAATAAAAAATAAAGAAATAAAAATTTATCTGTTTAGTACTATCACAAGATAATTTATTTCTGCCGTCAAACTACACCTCGAATCCGGTTCTATTCCATCGAGGTTGGCTTTTTAACCGACAGATGGAGCGATCGAACGAAAAAGACCGGGGGGAATGTCGTCTAAGTGGAATGTTGAATCGTCTAAGTACAGGAATGCGTCCTTATCGATCGAAAGCTCCATCCGGCTCCTCCTAAATACATTACGATTTTACATCTGCCTGACTAGATATAAAAATGAAAGAAAGAACGAAAGGAAATGGTTAAAGATGACTCGGCCGGATGCTAATTAATTTTCTAGACAAACTATGTCCGATTTTGTAACGGTGATAATCTCTAGGCGCTACATCGTTTCTACGACGCCCAAATCTCTGAAGGAGACGAGGCGAACCAATGACAGAGAACGGAACGCCCATCGCACGTCGGCAAATGGCAGGTATTCGACAAAGAAACCTAGTACGGTCCCCCCATTGTTTATCACTAAATTTCATTCATTAGTTTGTTTCCGGAATAATAAAAACGGTTAAACATCGGTGAACGATTCATCACGGAATGGATGGCAAATCTTGCTACGGCGATAACTACGAGACCAACTCGTACGGAATCCCAGATCCACACCGCAACTGGACAGTGTCAGGACGGCCACGAGACACTCTTTGCATAAAGGACTGCTTATGATTGGCAGAGTTTTAGGGAAAGTCGGAACGGGCCGGGGACTATCGGTTTTTATATTTTGCACTACTGATAAGGGGTGAAGAGAGAAAGAGAGAAAGCAATGTTGTACGCCATCTTGTTTACACCGACTGACTTTCCGTAATTCCCACACCACGATCCACGCCTTGGTCGTTTCTTAATAACGCTGCTGGAATTCGTGATGCCAACGGTTAAAATCGATGTAGAATATAGTAACGGATCCATTTGACAAACCGGCCAAAAGAAATCTGCAATTAGAAAAAATACAAAGAATGATTTAGTACAAAAACGCGCTTACGCGACTACGTTGTATTTAATTTTAAATTAATTAATATAAAAATACATTGTTTTATAATTCGTTGTGAATGTATTCGACATTATGTATAGCGATCGTTACGATATTTTAACAGCAGCAAAGAACTCAAACATTTTAACATACTTTAGGTCACTTACGTAAAAAGACTAATTATATCATTTAGAAATATATTTGAAATAATACTGCTTCTGTCTATCAATAACAGGAATTTCGAAAATAGTTTTATATTGTTTTCGCAAACTGTAAATTATTGTGGCTTTGAAAGATTCTTTCAAAGCCACAATAATTTACAGATTGTATCCTAAATTTTTAACTTTTAATTCTCGGCAGATTTGGCATAAGCTAATATTTTCTATATTGATATAATTATCCGACATCCTTTGTAAACATATTTTATTTATGGAAAGCGATTGTAAATAAATCTATATAAACTACTAACAAATATATTTAAATATTTCATATATTAGTATTATTATTTAAATTATTCTTACTTTAAATCTATAGATAGGCCCTAAATAACTTATTTGGGGATCGGAACATTTTACGCATTTAAACAAACTATCCAAATAGGCCTTTACTGAAATATACAAGTAAACCAAAATTTACGCTTCTGGTTAATGTGGATTAACTAGAGGGGCCGGCCTCAATTTTAACCAGTAAGAGCGAACCCGATCGCAATAAGATCAGCAGATCTCGATAAGGAATAAGAAATGAAATTTCAAATCGCACAGATACGAATCTAATTCGACTTTGGCTTCTCCAAAATAAAAAATAATGATAATTTCGGTAAGTATTGAAGTTATTATATATTTAATATCGGTAAGAGAGGATATGCGGGTAAGAGATACATTATTTATTATTCTAATAATAATAAATAGTACGAGTACAGTACATGTAAAATATTTAACATTAAAAATTCAAATTTTATTCGGAAAGAACGCTTAAGTGTTCATCTCTCATTTCAAATGTTTTTAGAAGACAGACGGACTTCAATACTCTCTTATCATTAATTCATATCTGATAAATTATTAAGTGGTAAGAACTGAATCTGTTTTTCTATTTCGCAATTATAATCCATAATAAATACAATTCTGCACATAAACACAAATATGAAATAAAACAGAAAACATATGTCCTATTTATACTTCAATTGTTATCATTAAAATACAAATATAGGCTATAAGAGAACCGCCATAATAACTGCTTTTTGTTTAGAAAATGATCTTATAGACGCCTATAAAAAAGAAATAATAATAATCCCTTACTATAAGTTAATGCAGGTAGACTCAGAATATTATATAATTGAAATTCAATTTTCTATTCTTGCAAACGAAAACAAAATATACAGAATTTAAATATAAGTCAATCATTATAAGTTACAGATTTATGACAATACTATAAACTATATTTAAAACATAAACAAACATGATAACTATTGCAAATTTTAATCCATATGTAACTGTAGCTATAAATATGCATAATATTACTATTTTAATCTTAAGGATTTTCTTATCGTGAATAAATTAGGCACTAGCTTCGTTCTCCGTTACTCACTCGTTTTGTCTAACCGAAATCTAACTCGAAACAGAAAATAGATTCTGTTTAGAATCTATTTCGAATTTTACTAATATTAAGTTTATTTTGTGTTGCAAAATAAGTCCAATCTAATTAACTTTGAAGAACGTCGATATGCTAAATTTCAAGACTTTAAAGCAATCTCCTGTATTCTAAAATCAATAAAAGATGCTAATAACCTTACCTTTTTTTTAAAAAATAAATATTAAGATAAAATTAAGTTGAAATCGTCAGAAGTTTCTCACAAAACTATTCATTCTTAATTATTCATTTACATAAAATCCTTTTGGATTAGAAAGCTTTCATTTGATACATTTCAATTAGCATTTACATTCAAATTAATTGGGTTACATTTCTAAGTAAATAAAATTCCCTTTATTACTAAATTCGAAAATAAATTTATTATTCTATTTCATTACAAATGTTAATTAAACTTGTTCCTTCAAATTCTCACCGTCCTGGATATTAAGAACTATTGTACAAGAATGTAAATCAAGTGACGCATATATACAGTGTTTTATTTGGAAATTTCGTTGAGTTTTAAGCGAAAAAAGCTTAAAATAACTTTTATGATTAAATATTAATATTAAAAAAAAAACTTATACGATGCGATTGAGATTCCACGAGCAAACTGAAACACAATTATCTTATAGAAACACAAACTTTTCCGTGTATTTTTGGCATGTAAATTAAAACGAAAATAATTATGATTAACGCTAAGTAACATTAAACGAAATTTGTAATTAAAATTTACATGTACTCTAAGAAAACAATTTTTCCCATAAAGTTATAATTGAAGTTACAGGTAAAGAAAAGCAAATGCAGGTTACTTGTAAATATAACTGGATTGAAATGTCTTTCGATTTACTTGAGTTAGTCAATTCTGTAGGCAATTTTATTACACGCTACGTGAATACGTAGTGCGTCATTTTAATTTTTGCGCTTGTAACATTTATTTGTAACCAAAATTTGTATTATGCTATTTCCAAACAGCTTAAATCGCAACCGCAAAATATAAAAGTAAGTTAATAAATTACAATAATTAATTAATTTTTAATAAGCGTGTAAAGTATTCATTTTATTTTTAAACAAATTCTTTAAATTACTATTAGTATTTGTTGAAAATACTGAAAATATTCATTTATTTTATCTATTCCTATCGATAAAATAATTATAATAAAGTCAAACATCATTATTCCTTAAGTACTTTAAAATACCAATTACAAATTAAAATCCTATCTCTTAACTAAGATTATTATTACATCATCTCTAGTGTCAATATAATTCTCAAGATACGATTCACTTTACTACCAGATTCGAAAAAGAAAAGAGGAAAAATGATTCTATTTGAAACTTAATCTCCTGCAAAGTAATATACAAAAAGAAACCCTTCAATTTTCGATTTAAATTTAATATCTGGACAACTGACAAATGAACATATGTTTAAAAATAAAAAAGAAAAGTGACAACAAATTGTTATAGATTTGTACACAGACGAATTTATCTTAAGCGTTCTAAGATTTAGTATACTTATGATGAATTAATTATAAATTCGCCAAATGATTCGAAGTCTCAGTAATGATTTTTTTATTAGTAACTATAAAATTTCAGAAAACAAATAGTTTAAATAAATGGCGGACAACCCGCGGAATAAGTCATCAACAAAAAAAATTTAATTTTTATGAAAAATCACGTGTAGTCTGGACTATGCGAAATGTATTCGCTCTCCAACACCAACTACGAAAATGAATTACAGAATTTCTTTTTATATCACATTTAACCGGATATACAAAGCGGTAAATCCAATACAACTCATCTTTTTCTGAACGAGTCCTAACGGCTAACAATTCAGTGAACCTAATTGGATTGTTAGAAAATCTCAATGATATAAAAAGTTTCTTGTCGACTCTAAACAAAATGATAGGGAAATTTCAGAAAATCTGAATCACGATATTTTCGGAATGGACCGTCGGATCCGAAAACAAAGCTTATAAATTTTAACCTTCTGTATATTATATAATATATAAGTTATATATAACAGTGGTTCTTAACCTTTTTATACTCACGGCCCACCAAATATTTCATAATTTTCGATAATTATCATCATTGAACTTTCACTAGTATTTTCTTCACTATACTTTCTTTTTGAAGGTCCTGGTCCGTGATTTCTAATGTTCCTTTCTGTTTTTTTGCTCATTTTTATGGGTTAATTATAAATAATTAAAACTAAACACAATATGAGAAAGAAATGCACTATTATTCGATCCAAAGTCGATGCTAAAACTAAAACACCCAAAAAATGTCGTAAAGATTTTGCATATCTTTTGCAAAAACATTTAAATTTTCAAAGCCTACTACTAAGCTTACTATTTTTCCTAATTATTTTTAAAATTCCAAGCATTAATAGTTTCTTAGAATTACTTTGGAATAAAAGAAGTAAATACTGCGGTGTAATTAGCATATTTGCATTTATTTCTTCTGTACTAACAAAGTTATATGTAGGAAGTAATAAGAATTAAAAAAAAAAAAACTAAATACGAAAACTTCCTTTCTTATTTCACTTTTCAATACGATATTCGGTTATACATCAATTTTCTTTTTATTATATTCTGAAGGAAATTTTGCAAAATTTGGCGGTCCCCCGGCAAACTTCTTATGGACCCACAGGGGGACGCGGCCTCCCTGTTAAGAAACAATGATATATATTGATAATATACAGAAAGGATATAATTTGTAAATAAAAGAATTTGGCTAAAAAATCTTGAATTTAAGCAGATACACTAAGTTATTTATCCCCTAAAGGATTCTGAGTCTGTAAATCTATCAACAGATATTCATTGTTCTATACAGGTTATAGAATATTAATTTGATACATATTCTATAATGATCGATTAGAGAAATTTTACAAGTGATATTTGTTATAAATGACACAACTTTTTACAAAAATTACTTTTGGAACATAGATGTAAAACTATAAACTAAGTAATCTCGACTAAAACTTGAATAATACATACTTTTGATCATGAGAGAGAGCGATAGAACGAACGCTACTATCGCAGGCTGGAAAAGCATACAGTAATGCCAGATTAAATGTTCTCCACACCTCCACGATTCCTTTATCGCCACCGGTAATCATGTATTCTCCATCACGACTCAACGACAGACACTACAACCAAAAGAAATTTAATATCAATGACTTATAAACAAGTTCATTTCAAATATTTATTATAGTCTTTATCAGATAAATTTTTTTTATAATAGTTGAGTATTTAAAATATAAAATATTTAATTTACAGCCGTTTAGAATATTTTATGATTAAAATAATTAGTTTTTCTTTTGCTATTTTAAGAACAGCTTTTAAGGCTTTCTATTCCAAATTAGTAACTTGATAAGAAAGCACATCATTCGTTTGGAAGAAGAGCATCAAATCTAAAAAGTTCACCATTTTTTTTTCATAAAACAGTTCTAAAATAGCTGTATTTCTATGGGAAAAACTGTCACAAATCGAACTCGCTTGGTTGCCGACAAATAGGACAACTTGTGACATTTTTTCCCATTGAAATACAGCTACTCTAAACGGCTTTATGAAAAAATAATAATAAAAAAATGGCAATTTTTGAGTTGTGACGTTCTTTCAAACGAACGACATATTTCTACTTTTAATCAATTCAGAAATGTTCGTATGCGAAACGAATTTATTTCAATTATAATATACTTTGGTGTTTAAAACTAATAAAATTTATACTTGAATTGTCATTAGCATACTATTTTATATTAAAATTCTTGTGTTACAAAATTCTAAGTGCCGTGCAGCTAAAACTGTACATAATTAACTGAAACACCATTTAATAAATTTAATGTGCAGCTTTTTAGTAACATTAAAAGCGATAATATGTCGTTCATTTACAAATTTTAAACTTTAAATTTACTGGATAAAGAACTCGAATTAAAATATTTCAAAAATAATATTAACAGAATTATAAAGTAATTATATACGACAGAAGAAAAATCAGAAAAATGCATAGAAGTTAAATCACATAATTAATTAATTCTAAAGCGAATGTTTAAAGTTTATTGGAATAAAATGAGTTTTAAAAATATGAAAATGTTTACGTAAATATGAGCTGCTGACTTGTTACAAATAGAGATTTAACTGTATGAAAGGTTCCAGGTAGTCTTTTTTATCTTATATACTTTTAAATCAAGCTTTGAATTGTTGAGCTATTTTTTACAGCTTTAACAGTTCAAAGTTCGATTTAGAAATGTACACTTAGCTAGATATGTACAAGTTGCTAAAATATAATCATTTATTACTTTGGATATAAAAATTTCATTGACTATCCTTTTCAAAGTACTCTCCGACCGAGGTTTTACAATGCTCCATTCGTGATTTCCACGAAATAAAACAATGACGGAAGGCTTTGGAAGTTATTACCTTTAATTGCTGTCTCGTATACTTCTTAATACCGACTACGCTTTCCTTTGAAGTGTGTTTTAATTTTAATTTTGAAAAAAATAAGACAAAATAAAACAGTTACGTGGTACGAGATCCAGCAAATAAGGCGCGCATTTTAATGTTATAATTTTGCTTTCCGTTAAGAATTCTCTCATTACTAAGGAGGAATGACACGGTGAGGAATGACCAGACGAATGTTTTCTGTGATGCAGAAAACATTCGTCTGGTCACAGTCTCAACCGTGTCTTTCGAATTTTATCACAAGTCTTCATCCAAATTTTGGCATACAATCAACTCGCGTTTTTAACATTCTCCTCTGTCGCTAGATTCGATGATCTTTCTTGTCACTGTGGACATATCTTCCCTCTCTGAACCGTTTGTGCCATTCTTATATTCGCGATTCATCACGGTACGAATCGTGTACAATGTCGTCATCGGTAAGAGTGGTAATGTATACCAGTCTTCGCGAAAAATTTAATTGTTCTAAATTTCGATTACTCATGTTTTTGCCGAAGAGTCACAACAGTGATTTGCACAGACGCACAACTCCTAAAGGGATCTGTAGAAAAAAAAATTACAACACGATATAGGCCCTAAACGTTGATCAAATATGCAGAGCCATCGAGAGCTTATATGAGGCTCTGGGGTAGAACGGGTCTCTTTAGACATTTGTTTTTTTTTTTTTTTTTGGAACACATAAAATATGTAAATGTTTCTTTATCCATAAAAAACAGTCCTGAAGAGTTTGTTTTCTGTTAGTAACCTATAGTAGTTCCTATCTCTATAAAATTAATATTATTTTTACTAAGTTTCCTCAGAGGCCGTCGAAAGGGAGGAGGCTGGGGAAAAATCCCTAGCCCCCTCCCTTCGACGGCCTGGTTACACGTTCAGTAGTAAGAGAACGGTAACTAAATATTCTCTTTTTTTATTAGCCACAAACTTTGTAGTCGGGTCTGTAAATTCTACTTGTATGAAGAAAGTATACAGAAATGTAATATTTAAATCGCTAGTTAAAGCAAAATTGTTACTTAAAATAAATAGGCAATTTCGTTATACTTGGATATTGTGATGATGAGCTTCGTGTCGGAGACGTTTTCCATTGATAGTGAAACAGCAGACGTTGCTTTGATTATAGACGACGACAATCACTCCTTCGCGTGAAAGTGCACATAAATCCGGCGAACGGAATGTTTCGGGAGCTTCCAAAGAGCGAAGTAAATCACCACTTGTCGTGTGTACAAGGACAGGACCACCTAAAACACAAGTCTTATCAAAAACTCAGAAACTGTTTCATCTTACATTTCATTTTATTACAGACATAAAGATACTTCGAAAATTCAAATAGAATAATCAAGGCTATTTTGTAACCTGCATAAAACTAACGTTTCATTTTAAATCGTACTTTAAATATAGTTATAGTCCATTTCACTAAAATTTCGATAATATACTGTACACTGATATTTTTGTTTCAAATGCCTAAGTCAATCACGCGGAATAACGTAGGCTAACGTTACATCTCGATGTTTATTTTTCGCTCACTTACCTTTAGAACCACTGACTACTAATCCGAGTTCGGCAGAGACAACGATACACGTAACTTCACTCTCGTGACCAGTTAAAGTAGCGCGAGGCGTAGGAACATCTGGAGGAAAAAAAATCATTTGTAAAATATTTGTTGTGTGTATTCTTTTTTAATTAGGGATTAATACCACTAACGCACCGGGATTACTGTTATCTCCAGCTATACATTGGATTCTGGCATTCCAGTGCCAAAGGAGGACAGTGCAATCTTCCGATCCCGAAGCAATATAACAATCGGATGTAATATTGCATTCGGATCGAGCTAAACACGTCACCACTCCGAAATGTCCGTAGACAATCTGAACAATTTTTGCTGCAAAATAAATAACGCTTAATGTAGGAAACGTTTTAAGTTTCATAATAATTATCTTAGCGGTATAATTTATAAGTATTGTTTCCTTTACCCGATTCGGTAGCGAAAACCCTAAAACTGTTGTCCCAGAAACCACAGGCGACCAAAAAACGACTGTCAACAGTAGTGACGAAGCAACACGATCGCATACGCACTCGTTGACTAAAATTGTCTCCCAAATGACGCTTGTGAGGGGCGACATTCATCACTAAAAAATAAAAATCATTTTGATATTTTGAATCGACGAACGCATTATACTTTTCCTTATTAAAAAAAATGATTTACTTAGTAAAGGATCCATTGCTAAAGGCAATTGATTCGGAACTGGTGGCGAACTGTCCGAATACTGAGGTTGATGCAAAGGTCCTGTAAATAAAATTTACATAACTTAATGTTCGTAGTATAAACTTGGAAACTGAAAGACAAAAGAATTACTTACCGGCGTAACACGGATTCCATCTATTAACTGCAAAATTTTGATTACACGAAACTGTAACCACGGAGGGCATCGGAAGTTGGGGATAAGTATTCGCAGAAATGTGACAAATTGGTGAATTGGACAAGAATTTCATGATCATGCACACTTCTTCCGTAATCGGGGAAAACATCATTGGACTCTATAAAATTAAAACTCAAATTTTTTAATCGAATCGCTTAAGATGTCTACTTGTTAAATTGTTGACGAATCAAATAAAATGTACGCATGGACCTGTATAATTTTCACTTTTAGCAAAGACAGCTTCAGTAAAGTAAGATACCATAGCTTTATATTCATCTGTTTTATTTTGGCCTAGAGTGAATTCTAAACCTTTATGCTAGAGAAACGAATAAGCGTTATCTTGTATTTGGGAAATAATTCTCCATCTCTTCAATCCGACTTATTATAAAGACGTTTATAATCGCATAATTGGATGAAATTATACGGATAATAAAGATCTCGATAATTCAGTGTCTTCCAACGGTGTATCGTGAAGCTGTTTTAAGTGCGTTACGAGATAAATTTAAAAAATTAAACGATAAATTCGAAAATTTGTAAATAACAAAATGTACTTATATTGCGTTATCAACTACAGTATATTTCGGAAGTCTGTACCGGCAACTATCGTAAAACTTCGAGATCTATCTGTATTATTTAATAATAAAGTGTGATGCCATCCCAAAGATGTTGGAAACAATTGATTTAATTTCTTACTAAATACTGCCTTATTCTTTATCTATAATAGTTTTATAAAATTTAATTTCTTATGGCTATAATAAGATCGCACAGATATACAGTAAGGCACCGGGTAAAAGATTTTTCGGCGACGTTTATCAGATAATGTATTGGATTTAAAAACACCTAAAAAAGCATCTTATAAAATCATGAAAAATTTATTTAAGTTCAATTCGATTTACTGACGATGTTTGTTAAATGAAACATTAGTAATTGATGATATTTTACAGAATGGATTACGCCCATATAACATTAAATTATTGTAATAAAAGATTAAATATTACACTTACGATGTGCATCGCTGAACTCCTAGGAGGGTGAGGTTCCATAAGAAGTTGGGACGGTGTTTGTCCGAAATTTCGAATTTGATTTTCAATGGCTTCTTTCATCACTTGATCTTTCATATTTTCCAGATCAACATTTCCCTCATAAGTTAAGTAATAAAAAACATTTGTTGCTCGAACAGCTTCGGGACCTAAAAAGAGCAAGAATTAAGTTGGTTTTATTCAAAACGACAGAAGAATGACAAGGAGAAATATTTTCTGTAATTTTAACTGGGTGGTCTAGTCTAACATATCTTTGGCTAATTAACGCAGCCAAGTGACAATCTTTCAAATAAAAATGTGACACGCATATGGAACCGATTTTTCCATCTTGTCATTACAGAAATACTTCTGAAGAAGAAATAAAATACTTTACCTCTTTGCTTATATCCAAAAATAAGATCGATCCATTGATGAAGCTGGCAAGAAACGAATTCGGATTCAAGTGCCTAATTTATAATAATTCCATTTATTAATTTCACGTAATTCCATCTATACAGTCCATACAAAATATTAGCATAAAATACTTGCCATTCTATTAATACGGACGAATTCTTCTGGAGAAGAAGCCCATGGAGGAAGTTCTACATCTCCGACTTTAGAACCATCTTCCTGAAATCCTAGCTGATATCCATTTTTATTCACAAAAATTTCCGGCAAATAATAAAATTCCGGAACCAATTCCTAAAGTTGTATATAGATTTAATGAAAAATGCTTTTCTCGATTTCATATTTCTTGAGAAAATCATAAAATCATACCTTAACATCTGAAGTATCTCTTTGACAATTTTTCCAAGATTGAGCGAGTGAGAAGAACATTCTGTTTGCGTGATCAAACTTTCCTCCTTGGAGAGACAAAAACATGGTAGTCAAAGGCTCCTAAAAATTAATACATATTTAAGTAATCGATAAATTACGTTGAAATTAAAAAAATAAATACATGACTCACCACTCGAACCAACCAATTAAGTGTAAAGGCAGAAGTAGAGTAATGGGTACCATAATGGAACGGTGGTATGGTGTCGTGCTCCCAAGTTTCATAGCGTTCTTCAAAAAAAGCTTTTCGACTCGGATTGAGAGCTCCGATTGGCTTCAAAGAAGTAATTTAGAAAGTACAGATGAAAATTTATATACCATTTTAAGCATTAAAGTGCATCTTAACTTTTTACGATGAACAATATTTAAATTTACAATGGAATAAAAAAAAAACAAGATTATAAAACGATTAAATAAATAAAATTATTATTGTTAGCGGAACACTTAATTAAAAATTATAATGTTAAAAGTTTTTAACTAAAGTTCAATTTAATGTAACATAACGATTACCTTGGACAGGTCTCTGTAATTACTTGGCAAGCTGAGATCTAATTCGGGAGATTCGTAATTTGTAAGAATCCAGGGAAATACTGGATATTGATTGAGATCGTTATATGTGCGACCTAAAATTTAAATGAATACTCAATTTTTATTTTGATTTTCAACAAAATTAACAGTTTAAAACAAAATATTCGAACTAACCTGCAATAGTGTTCAGAAACATGAGATATTCGAAATTACTTATTTCTCTTCTTTGCCATTTTTGGGTCATATTCGACTGCTGAAATATCTGTCGAGGCGACATCAACGAAGCTCGTCTAAAGTAAATTAAAATACAGATAGTAATTGACAATAAATATAATATATACGGTATATAACCGACCTTACTGTTTTATCAGTTATATCATTATAAAAATATATCTGTTTTTACCTGGTTTGAGGAATACCGTACTTGATTCCGACACCTACACAGGGTAAAGCTTTTACCACTTTTTTCACTATGTGATGATCTTGGAAAGCAAACATAATGGAAGCTGAAAGAATAGATATACATCAGCAAATTTTTTATTTATTTTTATCAAACATATCGCCAATAAACAAAAACTTACTACGTGAAGCCAAAAATATCTCCAAGGCAACATTCTGTAGAAGATACCGGCGAGAAAATATAGCTCGAATTTCGGAAAAGTGCCATTTTCCGTGAATGTGATCACAATATTTTAAGACCTAAAAAACAAACATTCATTCCTTAATTTATGTAACATAAGCATATATTTTAAAGGCATCAAGATAATTTTTAAAATAGGATACTAATAATATTCGTTCGTTTGTCTTTCGTTAGCCTATAGTGAGAGAAGCATCTATTCTTGTCTGCCGGATGGCAACGGGCCATGCCATCAGAACTGCCACTCCTAGCAGTAATCGAATCTGTGTCTATTAGAATGCTACGTATTCGATTTTCGCTTTGAGTGAAGCTCTTTGATTCTACTTGACAGCAACGAATAGTAGCAACAAATAGCAACGAACGGTCTAGGTTTTACTAAGACTTTAAACAGCTTGCAAATTATTTAGTTATATTTTACTTAAACTTATCTAGTTATACACAGTGTGAATTTTTAAGCCGATTTCGACATTTAGAATAAACAATTTAAGAATTTTCATTAGGTTCCTTACTTGTTTCGCGTTGGACCAAAATGTAAAGAATGAGATAAAATAAAATTCAACACTCGAATATGAAATTACATTTGACGTATTAGCTTAATATTATCACTACAAGTTAAAATGAGTGTTTTTACAAAAAAGCTGTCCGAAATATTCAATTCTTGGTTAAAATAAACATGGTAAAAAGAAAGAAAGACAGACTAATTGAAGAGGAAACAGTTGCTTCGTCCGGCAGAGATCACAAGAAGGCGCCACTAGGACGACGGAATCTTGCCATCTGGCGGCGATGAAGCGAAGCGTCATCCATTTACCTGGCAGGTACGTGGGAGATGCGAGTCTGACTATGACAGCAAGATGCAACTGCGTGAGTCATCCCGGCATCATCCACTATAAAAAATGTCTCGCCGAAGAAAGACAAGCCGTCTTTGTATGCCCAGAGGAGGACCGGATTACCAAACTTCCATGCGACAATAAAGTTACAAAATAATTTACAGGTGATAACACTAAGCAGACGAGGATGCACGGGATGTAGATATTAATTACCAAAGAGGCGCCGTTCCATTAGGAGTACAAAAATCACGTTTCGCCTTCCTTCCTTCGACCAGATTACAACTCTTCGATCCTGTTTACACGGTCCTAACTCGATTTCGACGGCATCTAAATCGAATTAGTTGCTGCTCTATAATAGAACGCAGCGATGTCCCATTCGTCTGCTCTGACAGTAATGGGCAGATTTTCTCCCCTCCCTGTGACTCATCCCCTCTCTCCACGTAGGTTCTACTGAATCCTTTTGCGAAAATTATAGCCGCTGTTGGGATACTGATCAATTTCCAGGCACAGCAATCCATAATAAATCTAAGTTGCTAGCATTTTTAAGTTTAATATGAAGTGTCGGTTCAAACGTGATTTCATAAGAGAAATTAGAATCGATTGCTAAATAGAAATTCCTCTTGATAACTGAATAAGAACTCTGAAACTGTCTTCTAGTTATGCCGAATTTTAACGTCTTCGCCATTCACTCATTAAATATTTGTTACAAACTCTTGTTAAAAAAATGAAGAGAAAATGTATTTATTTATCCAAAATTACTTATTTTGTTTATTTTCGCAGCTTTAGAAACTATAAATTAGTTATTTCATAAATTGTTTTAGTATGTTAACTCTTCTCTTAAAGCAAACATGGCGTAGGTTATATCAAAGTAAACGATAGATTTAAAATTTATCCTTTTTGGGGGGAATTTAAATGAAAACTATTGAAGAATCATAGTCGGATCTCAAGTTTTCCAGGAGTTCTAATCAAGACAAAATACTCTAATGTCAAGAACAAATCTAATAACACAAATGAATTTTGGTAGTGACATCAATCATCCTAGTTATACAATATATATACTGTAAAATATTGCAAAAATATTTGAATTTTTATTAAAATTCTTGACCTAATCCGTAAGAAATCGTTACTTGGCACAGATCTAAAATAAAACTTAAAATATTTTTAAAAATTTGACTTTTTTTAATTTCTAAGAGATTAGATTAAGTTATATAATTCTGTATGGATAAAGCAGACCCATTATTTTATCTTACGATTGATGACTTAACGTTTCATTTAATTTATTGTGATTAAATGCTTAATATTACATCTTGCTTATTTTAAATTACAGGGAGAGAGTCAACGATTTCTTTTAATAAATTAATTTGAATAAAAATTGGAGTAGTCATTTTCCAATTTACAAGAATACGAATTGTTATCGTCTATAGGAGAAAGATTCAACTTACTTCACAATCAGAAAAAAAATGCTGTTTTGTTTTACTGATCTTAGTAAATTATTAAATATTGTTAATAATTTATTATTACTATTAATATAATACGTTCCAAATTATTCGAAAGATATCCAAGTTTAATTGATTCTGATAAAATCTGTAGAAATTAGAAAAAAAAATATACATTTTACTAGTCCTGTAATAAATCTATAGTTATTCATTAAATATAATAAATAAATATATAAATACATTTTAATCAAAAGTAGAAACGCAGATATTTGAGAAAGTTGAACTAAACTTATCTAATTTTCGTGATAATCTGGAAAATTAACATGAAACAATTTTACTTCAACACGATAAAATAAAACATTAGGCATATATTTCGATAATTTAATTTTAAATGCATGTTAAAATTCATTTGAAACTGTATTTGTGCCAATATAAAGAATAAAACTTATGAAAAACTTCATTTAGTTAAGAAACAATCATTGAATTAGCTGTACTTAATTGAAATTTACTGTATACATTATCAGCCTGGGAAAATTAATGAGTGTTCATTTGTGATTAATATACATTAATCAATTTCCAAACAGTTGTTTCATAACTATTGTAAAATTATTAATTTGAAGAAACTATTTTCATTTGAAATATTTAATAAAGACGCGTTTCACGTATGCGGAAGTTTAGAAATTTAATCTCAAAACAAATCTTGCTTATTAAAATAGCAGCACTTCCTTGTTTAAATTATATTTTATGAAAGAAGAAACTAACTTTTAATACTATTACAGTTTAATGAAATAATCTGCATTTATTGAATCGTTTATTATGTAATTACACAATATATATACAGAGTTTTAAAATAAGTTTGTGCGAGAAGATATTTTAATATCTTCGACAATTCGTTGTTTATCCTCTAAAACAACTTACAAGATTTCTATAAATTATAACTGTTAACAATTACATCTTTTAATAAAGTCAAACTGCTGAATAAGGACCACCGGCGGCAAAATAAAAAAATGGCCGATGTTTGGAGGTTATTTTGTATGCATTTCCAAAAGAAAACTTCTCGAATTGTCACCGTTTAGAAATGGCCGTTATCGGAAGTTCGTAATTCAAAACATTTTTTTTTTTTTTTCTTTTTTTAAACTATTCAGACTGAGAAGTTGTAACATAATGTAGAGAACGTTCCGATTAAAGTTCGCACTTCAAAAATAAAACTGGAAATTTCTGAATGATATATTCTAGAAACTCGATTCAAGCTTAATCTACACGGCTTCCTAAATAATTTATCAAATTTGACCAGAAACGATATGATTCAATCTGAGCGTTAGAATTAGATTTATTTTTTATGATTTATTCTGAATATTAAAATTAATTTTGTAAAATTCTGTTATATAGCTTCTAAAAAACACTATTTGCTACAGCTATTTTTTGAATTAAGATAAGTTTATACACATGAATATTTTTCTTTGTATAATGTAACAACAATAAAGAACATAGCTTTTGTTGTTTCCGTCTCGGCAATAGATTTATATTAAAAATTTAGTTAGATTTACTCAATTTTATCCAAAAATTGCCCACTGCTTACTGAATATATTTTGAATATTCCATAATAAATTGGTTTTTAAATGGTTATTAAATTACATTTAGTTTCTATTATGTAATCGACGAAACTGCAATACTTCTCTTTTGTAAAATTTCTGCTTTTCTTTAAATAACCAGACGTATTAAAACCTCCCGTAATAAACTTCCTAAAAACGTTTTAATTCTGTTTGTTACTAAACTAAAACCCGAATGCTTAAATCAAATGACTGCAATAAGAAGAAACTTCAAATGAAACATTTGTCAAACTATCTTATAAAAATGATAATGAAGTCATTGTATAATTATTAATATAGTGAAAATTATCCATTAATTGTAAAAATTCAACCTTTTAATGATTTTCTAAGTGGTATTATTGTATTTTAAATTTCCATTACATTCAATGAGCACGAATGGATGAAAAAGATCAGTAAAGCATTGAGAAGCTTTTTGATAAGTCAGAGAAAATAAGAAAATCATGTAAAATATATACCGTTAAAATAAAAGTATGATGTACAGGGGCAAGATACTACTAATTAGAGGTGAAGAGGCTATATTTTAAATTAAATAAATTAAAAATATGATTAAAAATTGCAGCCCGGCATTGTGATGATGTCACAATAATTATATAATTGCTCGTTTAATATAATTTATTTCAATTTATCAGATCTTTAGGTTAGGTTGTGTATATTTTATATAATTTTCGTAGTTTATTACGTCTATTTGATCTTTTATAGAGAAACTATATTTTTATTTAGATTTTAAAAACGAATAAAAAGTTTATTTTGTTAAAAATATTCAAACCAAATTTCATAAACTTAGACACGTTTAAATATAATTTTCACATTAAAAAGGAGAAAAAAAAAAAACAGAAAAACGGGTTAAAAGTCAGATCTAATACTTAATTAGTTTTTAACTAAATTTATAGCAATCCCAAAAGATAGATTTTCAGTGTTGTTCAATCACCTATATTGGCTAAAATGACGTTAATAGAGATTCAACAATATATACTCGTATTGCTCTGTCTAAATTCTAATCGCAATTATTGTTAATTAAAACACAACTAAATCTTATTTAACTTTTACTTATATATATCATTATTACGGTAAGAATGAATAATTACTCCCTTTTATAGAATATATTTACTATCGAATACATACACTTCAAACATAAATTTTAAGTTTTGTTAATTGCAACAATAAATTCAAAGCATATAATTTTATAAAA